ACACACACACACACACAGGAGATGCAAAAGTCAGACATTGGAAATAACATACACACCATGCATAGATTACAGATTAGAAGCTATAAAGTGTGGAAAACACACTCTCTTGTACAAGAAACAACACAGATGAATGAGAACTCACAACAAGGTGCTCAACACATTATCCACATACCAACACATCTCCCCATATATGGTACTAAATAACCACAGCCAGATGACACAATCAAACTCCAGTGAAACAACTGAATAAGCGAGACATCGCGGCTACGTTGCAATTCTATCTTCACCTATTTAAGCCAGTATCAACAGTTTATGTTTAACACTGAGAGAAAGTGTGGTCAAGCACAAGATTGATGAGGTTTGTATTGGATAAAAACTGCCTCTGACTACAGAGCATGAGGGCTAAACTCTCTAAAGGTATTTGCTGCTGATAAGCCACTGGTATCGCTGGATGCTATTGCTAAACTGGCCTCGATGGGAGTGCAATGTTTAAATGAAAAATAATTATGCAATAAAAAAAAGCAGTGCCAGGATAAACTAAGCTCTCTGGGGAAAAGTGTGATTAAAAATGACCGTTTATAACATGGACTGAGAGGTCCTATGTGCACTTTCAAACTGACTGAACAGTAATTGCAGCAGTGAAACAAGCAGCACCAAATGCAGCGATAATTTTAATTTTAACATTCTTAGACGATGATGCAATATGATGTAACAATATTTCTTTGTCCTTGGTGTGTGTATTTATGCGTGTTGTCTGTATATGTTTTTAACTTTTTAATAGTTTCATCACTCTGTAACACACATTAAACCACTTCTGTATGAGACTGCAGTCTAATAAACTTGATATTAAAAAACCTACCTAGGAATGAAATACACACACTAATGTAAAGCCTATGTGATGTGTCGTGAATTGCAAAAAACATGCAAAAACACAGTAGCTAAAATAAAGAATTTTTGGTTGTGTATTCCAGGGAAACATCCCCTAATATGGTTTGCAACGAGACAAGAAACTAGCTAAGACAATAACAGAAAAAACTAAAACTAGCTAAGACCTGAATGTCCCTCCACTAAGTAATAAAGAATTATGTTAATATGGTATGTGGAAGGCAATAAACTCTGAAAGCACAGCCATAAATTATATCTGTCAGTAGGAGGCCTGCTAAATTTGTCAGAAAACAAACTGACATGGGATTAAAATGTCAGTTGTTTTTAATCTTTGGATAAATATCTGAATATGCTTAGACCTTGATTCTTGGATTAAATGTTGAGTAATAAATCTAACAACTTGCATCAACTCCCCACTGGGGTGGTGAAACATTTCCTATGTAAATATTTCTCTAAACACATACAAGCTTCCACATACCTCCATCCTTTCTGCAACTTGAGTCAGTAAACTCTTTATGAGCTGTAACATTAAAATATTCTGTGAAATCTCTTCTTATTCAAAAAAACAACTTACTTCAGGCTTTTGATCTGTTTTCAAAACAGGATAGAACAGAGCCTGTTCCTGCTTTTCAAACCACAAAACCATGGCTCACACAGAAACTTTTTACATCAACGACCGCCTAAAGTATTATAAAATATTATAAAATATTATTATTGACGATATACAGTAGGCGAGAAAAAAGCACTCAGTGGCTAAAAACTTGGCTCATGAGGTTCAGCACGTTCAAGATGCCGCAAATACATTGCATGCCATGGGCGTGTTTACATAAGATAGCCTATGGTGTCCACAGACAGCAGCTGCCCTGTGTTGTGTGTGTCATAGATGGATCTGGCATGCGTTAACAAACCAGCCACTGTAGTTCACCCATACCGAGCAACAGGAGCACAGTGCCCTGATAACTCACATACATCTACAAATGTATGTGCTGTAATTTTCAGGGAAAACTTTACCTTTCTTAGGAATTTGGGGATATATTAGGAACAAAATTGTCTTGGCAGCTAGCAATAAAGTCCACACACTGAAATGTCAACAGACAAGGGTGACTAGATCACAAAATAAATTGTATGGAAAGTCTGACTTTTGTTTTGAGACCGTGACCGTAAACAACATGTTGGACGAAATGGACCTTGTTTATCAGGAAAATTTACAGCTTTGTGGACAAGTAGCCCAATCTTAACAGCAGCAGTCATGTTCTGCAAGCCAGTTCTGCCATCTAGGAACAAGTGTAATTCATCATGATTATCTCAACCTCGCTAAACTCTTACGACACTGCTATGAGGAAACAGCAAAACAGTTTCAGTCCGAGAGGGACAGAGAAGCTATGATTTTATACTTTTTTGTGGTGATACAAAGCTATTCAAGCAATCCCACTTACTTTGTTCATAACAGCATCTTTAATTACAGCAATGTTAGGGACCTGCTCCCTATGCTTCAGAGTCAGGAAATTAGTTAAGCAGAGATTTCCTGTCTTTTACGCCGTGGCTTTATGCCTAAATAAAGTAGTCGTGGTCATAGTGAAATTGAGAAGCACAACATGTGAGACCTACTTCACATTGAGTCTTCTAGAGGACTTCCTCATCTTTTTCCAAAAAACACACACACACACACAGAAGTAGGGCTTACCATCGGTTAGCTAAGAGGACCAGCAGATTTCTCAGAGGCCAGCCCGGATGTTGAGACAGAGTACACGGATCATAGACACCCACAGTAACCTAGAAAAACCAAACAAGGTGTGTTTACATTACCAAAGTGTGAGTGTGTGTATATGTGTGTGAGAGGGAGTGTAATACAACAAATCTAATCTGATGGTAGGGATGAGCCACAAAAAGCACTGTATAATGCTTTGTGTACAGGACAATCCAACAGTACTTAAATCTTTGAACATACACAGATTTAAATAGACTTTTTAAATCATACTCATCTCATTGCATTTTTTCCTGTTGGTTTAAACTTTAAAATATAAAAAACAAATAAAATATGAAGGAGTACCTTCTTAGTATCAGTAAAGAAAGTATCCCAGTCCTCGAGTGGAGCCATGTGAACAGTGTCATCTGTGTACTTCATTAGGAAGTAGGGAACCGCAGTGGTCTCTCTTTTGATACACAAGCCATCATAGGCCTCCTGCAAGGCTGCGATCTGAGACAGAAATAATTAGATGTCAGCAATAATTATAGACAGCTCTGTCCTGTACATTAACACAGTCAACCTTATAGAGAGAGCTTTTAAATGGCAATCATAAATAATATCCATCTATCCTTTTTCTGATGCTTATCCGGGCCGAGTTGCAGGCTAACATACATTCCTAGATACTGTTCTTCAAAATCTATTTTTAAATCTATATTTTACAAGGTACACAAACTATGTCATCTATCTGGTGAAAATGCTTCTTAAGTACAAGAGAGATTTTAGAAAAGAAGTTATCTGTAACATAATTTTCACTACCTGCATATACATCCACCAATTACTATTATAAAGCTATAATCAATAATTGATGTCTGCTGGAACAAAGTTATTTTCATTTTGCTTTGTTCCGCTTTGTTAGAAACCTCCATCTAGAAAGAGGTTTATAGTCACAAGGTATAGAACAAAGCGGTATAAAAATAGCTATGTTCCAGCAGACATCACTCAGATGGACAAGTCGTAGCAACATTGCACTGATGCCATAGATACATGCAGCGTTTATTCATTTTTTTCTTCCCTGCATTTTAGCCTATTTATTGTAGTGTTTTTGTTATTTTTTGCTCATTTTAAGTCCTGATTATTGGAGCATCGAGTAATTTTATCTATTGTTTGTCTATTGTCTGTGTTGTTTATAAAATGTGCCAGGATGGATCCTGGCAAACCAAATCTACCTACAGGTAAAAATAAAGTAACCTGGATAAGGTATTTAATAAAATATTATATTACTTATATACAGTCACAGTTGCCTCAAAGTAAAAATTCACTATGCTCTTTCCAAAAACTCATTCATTCTTGGATGTCATTAATTAAATTAATGATATTTTTGCATATATCTGCAGGATAAATGCTTGTACACAGTTTCTTAAAGTCAGACTGCCAGAGACACTGGTCAGTGAGGTCATATTGTGATTCTGGCTTTATCTTAATGTTGAACTGATTAAACTTGGGTAATCTGTCAAGGTCTAACATAACACTGACAATTTAGACTGATAGAGAGACAATAGAAAGGGAGACAGGGAAGACGGAGAAATCTCCATTGCTGTGGCCTGCAGTTTGCGTCATGCTGTTCATGAGTCATTCTGACTCTTTCATAATAAGGCTTTCGCATTTCCTTGGATCACTTCATTATACTCTTCTATAACCTACACCGTATTAGACAGAACAGGAAGATTCAAAGAGTAATGTTAGGAGCTGCATCAAGGGCTGCAACCATATCATTCTCTTCTTCTTAGGGAAGAGGAATCTTAAATGTAAAATTGGAACAATGTTTACACTTTTTGGCCAACATATGTCAATCATACAATCATTGGAAAACAGCATTTACACTGAACATTACACAGTAGTTATAACTGGTATGTGTATCACCATTTGGGAAATCCATAAATACAGCTCAAACTCACAATTTGGAAAAGAGAAAGAAATAATGCACCTACAGTAGAATTTCAGATTTTACTGTCCAAAGCATTCATCCCACTGATTTATGATAATAAATAAAAAGCCAACCTGTTTTGCTGAGAAAACCTGCTCTAGGACAGAAGGTTGTTGGACAATCTTTATTCCCTCTGGGAAACAGAGTGCAGGGAAGCAGAACCAGTAGTAGAAATGGTACTTCTTCAAATCCTGAAAACAAGATGGTAAGAAAAATGAATTAAAAATGGCCAAAAGAGTGAAAGGAAAAATAGAAAGATAATCACACATAAAGTCATTAATATAAGACTTTTTTAAGAAACAGTTTATACGCACTGCAAAAGTCAGCAGAAGGAATCTACAGAGGATGGATGGGTCCTTCAATGCTGCCCCAGACTGTATAGCATCCCATATCTACAAAACAACAGGAGATGAAAGATTGCATTCATTAAACGGTTTAATTCTTAGTTGCTCAACTTAGGGACCATTTCTGATACAGATATGTGAATATGTGTGTGTGACTGAGAAAATTCCCACTGGAAATCTTTTACCTCCTTGGCTTCTTTCTCCAACAGAGCCTTCTTATCAGTGGTCTTAAAGGCGTCGAGTGTGTTGGTGTTATACAACGTTCCAACAGCTGGACAGCAACGGGCTGGAGTCGGACCATCCCTAACAACAAACATCATAGCTTTCGATTAAACTGTATGAATGCAAAGTACATGCACTAACTGCACTTTACATTTTGTAAATGTTTTACAAAGTGAAGCACCGCTGCTTTATTGAAGGCTTCAAAATGACCTGATGTAAGAGTTGTTCTAAATTTAGTTCAACCCTGAACTGATAAACTTTAAAGGAAGTTCAGCTATTGTCATTCCATGACAATGAAAACTTCAGTGAACTTGTATAAGCCTGGTTTAAAACTTAAAAAAAAAAAAACACCACGGTAATGGCATCTTCATTTCTACTTATTGTGTTAAAAGTAGGCTTCTCACCACTGTAAGCCCAATTTGCCAATTCTGACCACATAAATTTATTTGAAAAATCTAATGTGGGTTTATTTTTTAACAAATTGCAGTGTATTTATTATTTATTATGTAAAACAAGCCTCTCTGTCTACTATTAGAGCCTATATTAAAAGACTCTCAGTCAACTGTTGGTGGATTAACCCTTTTATTTACATTTGTATTATCTATTGCCCCTATTAAAAACTAAATAACAAGAGAACAATTTAGGGTTAGGGTGGTTTGTATAAGCAATAGACTGCATCACACTTACACTTCAAATGCACTGAACTCCAATGTCAGGCGAGTGGGCAAACCAAGTGGGTCACCTACAGGACAGAAATGTGAATGGAATAGTTAACTATTTTAGTTCACATTAAAAAACATACTGATGTAGATTAGCAAGCGACACGTGTGTGAAACGGAATAATAAACATATGTAAAATATAAGAAGAATTGTCATAAAAGTTTTAAAAAAACAGAAGAGTCAGCGCTATACAATTACCATCTGACCACTCACCATTGTAGTAATATCCTTTGATAGATTTGGGGCTCTCATCCAGTCTGTAGTCGTTGAGTTTCTTCTGGGTAAGTTGGTGCCAGAAGCCTGCCTCCAGAGCACTGCTGAAGGGAGCAAACTGCAGCTTGAGGTCTGCAGTGGAGGACGCTGCTTCACTGGTGTCAGATGCCATCACAACTTCACTAACAGGTCGTGCAGCCAAGTATTACAAACTGTAAAATTAAACAGTTGTAGGTTACAAAACAGTTGCAGGCTCTATAATCTGTCATAACATAGACACAATTACAGTACAAAGATTACATTCGCACTGAGGTTTTTACTAACAGTTCAACAGTCAGTCAGTTGGTAAAGCACAAAACAAATATCAGATGTAGTATCACCCAGTGCATTGGTTATGGGAAAGTCAGCCTACTTATGGTGTAACCTCTAACCATCTGCAGTAGTCTGTTGCAGATGAAATAAATTTTTTTTAAATATAGAGGGTGTATATGTTTTACAGATTTTAAAGCCTTTTGGTGAACATTTTAGTTTTCTGATTTAGGGCTATAAAGTTGACTTTACTTTACAAAATGTATGATGACGTTAGTCAACCCTAAGCATGGATGTTATAGTAATGCTGATAATAATATTGATTAAATTCAAATAAAATTTATCTAATTTTGGTCAGAAAATAAATGTTTTAGTCATTTATTACATAAAAATATAAATAGTACCTTGCTTTTTGCTTTTTCATGTCATGAATAAGATAATATACCATAAAACAGGATATGACAAGAGGACATAACAAGACAATACTTTATTGATCCATGGAGGGAAATTCATCATTGAAGACTTCATTCATGGTCAGACTAAATAAACAATTTGCACACATTAATTTGGGCTTTGTTAGCATTTGTTATTAACTCTGACATTTTTCACAATAAACCACCAATCACAAATTAATCTACCACAGATACTATCTGCACATCTTATTATTATGCCACCTGATAACATCCATTACTACTAATGTTAACCTATCCAACAATTCCCCTGTTTATAAACGAGAAATGCAACCAGTCTTGTGTTATCTGGATTATTTCTATTTTCTATCTTTCTATTTATTCCAAACAATAACACCAGACCTCTAACCATAAGCCACTTTAAGGGTATTCTGCAGCTTTTCAGGGAATCTTATGTATGTTCAAATTCCACATTTACTTTCTCAGGACTTTCACTGAAGTCAGTTCCTGTGCATAAAGTTAACACAGACCACAGAGTGAAAGCAGAAGCTCTGACTGCTCAAACTGCTCCAACGTTTTCTACACAGGACGAACACCTCCAAGGAAACAAACCACAACATAACGACATAACTGTATTTTAAAGCAGATACATTGAAGGTAACGTTAAACAAGCCGGACACACGGTGATATGTCTAACTGTAACAAGCTAAGCTCTGTGCACTTACCAGATCTCCTTACTTCCTGGTGAACTTAATCATGTGATCACGGGACTTGTCAATAAAGCAGTGCAGTCTGGGTAAGTAGCAAGGCAGCCAGCTAGCCTAGCTGCAAGATAAGTGTGTGTGCTTTACGGTGCATGTATCATTGAGTAAAATATAAAGAACCAAAATATAAACAAAAACGCGCAAACGATGAAGCACGAGAAAACCGACAGGAACTTATACGCGCCGTTTCTTTTCATGTCGGACTGCACAGAAGTGTTAGGGATGTTAAAGGCGCAGCGCCGAGCAGTAACGTTGTCAGCGTTACAACCGTACCAGGTGTAAACAGGTTGAGTCACTCACGAAACCTGTAAACTGGATTTTAACAGGAACAAGTTTCCAATTCCGGAAAGGTAGGACAGGAGCTACGAGGTCATTATCAGCAGGATGGACACCGGAGACACACAAAGTGTCTCCATCTGGATCTGAACCGGACAATGAGTTAGGGGCCGTCTCAAAACTACACTGCTGGGAGAAAACGTACAATCTCCAGGAGTGCAAATGATTAGGACTTACAGCTTTTATGTTGAATCCTCCAGGCAGTTGATGTTTGGCAAAGATCATGAAATGTTTAGAATGTTTTTTTTTATCATTTTATTTTATGTAACTTAAGTTATATTTGCTGTAAGTATTTCTTTGCAAGAATGTCTGAATGTTGTTATAAATCTTTTCCACACTAATAAAATTCTGATAAAAAAAATCAAACTCCTTTTTTGTCTTGCTCTTTTGTTAGTCTAAAAGTACTCCCAATAATAATATAGTGAGTCTAAAAATACTGGAATCTGCCTATATACAGTGGGAGTGATAATTATTTGATCCCTTGCTGATTTTGTATGTTTGCCCACTTACAAAGAATGGAACTGTATATAATTTTAATCATAGGTACCTTTTAACATTGAGAGACAGAATATCACAAAAAAATCCAGAACAACAACATCATATAAATTTTATATATTTATTATCATA